CATTACAAACCTACATTAATTAAACCATTCCTTTACAGAAAACCACTTTTATGACACTCTTGTACTACATACTATATACAGATAAAAATACTGAAGTTTGGAAAAAATTAAGTAATTTGTTTAAAGTCAGATAACTAGTAAATAGTAAGACTTCTAGATTTAAATTTCTGATGGTCTGACTTCAAACCTCTTATCTTTTTCATTATACTGTGGTGCATCCCATACATCATTATATAGCAAAACTACTCCTCAGGTTTTTAACATCTATGTTATTTTCTCCTCCTGTTCCACTATTTCCTGATATCCCTGCCTCTGGTCTCTTTTATCTACTATCCATCTGGACATCTATTATTACATAAAACATACCAACTTCCATTTTCATCACCTGACTCCCTAGCAAAGATCTCCAGAAACTCCCTATTATCAATTCACATTGAAAAATCCCGTGTCATTATGAGGAGATCATTCAATATTTTCTTCCACAGTATTTAACACTGAGTTGGCCTGATGTCTGTATAAAGGCCAGGTTGTAAAATAGCAAAAACTTGTAATGGTTTCTAACACAACTAGCTGTTATAGTAGTCATGTACTGGGAAAAGGAAGATTAAAAATCTTCTAAGGAACTTTTTACAAGCTTATTTAAGCAAAGCATATAAAGTGCAGAAATCATAATAAATATTCACAAAGCAAAACTGAACACACCTGTGCTACCACCACCCAGATTCATTGAAGCAGATTTAGTAGTAGTACCTAAAGAACTTCTGACTGAAAGAGGACAGTCACTTGATACTTCCCTTTTCTTCTGCTTTCCTTTGTGTACCATAGTGGACACTTAGGCTAGAGAGAAACTTGGAACTCAAGGCAAATCTTCTCTGGAGATACTGAAAGCATGCAGCTAGAAGTTTTGCTTATTGAACAGTCAAAACTGAAAGAAAAGCAGATATCTGATTCCAAAGTGCTTTGTACTCACAAAAGGCCAGAGCACACACATATGATCACAAGAAAAAATTCAAGGTGAGTCTTCTACATAAGCCTGAGAGAATGCCAGGACTAGCTTAAGCAAGAAACTGATACAGTTCAGTAAAAATGGCCAAATTGTATTTTGGGGTTCATAGAAGTATTGGGTGGAACTTCTGAAAAGTTTCCTTAAATGTGAAGGGAAGATGAATTCTTGTTTTCCCCTTCCTCTGCCCTGTTGCCAGGGAGACAGATGAGACAGCCACAATCCCAGCACCATCTTGGGCCATGACAATCCACAGCCACATTCTAGGGATGTCAGAATGTAGGCTGGAAGGAAACTGGGTCTCAGACAATTTTGATGAAGCATCAAACAGACGCTGGAGGGCCTACTTCCAAACATTTCTTATATAAGAAATAAACTTCTAACTTGTTTAAGCCACTGTTAACTTTTATTTATGATTTACAGTAAGAACTAATCTAAGAGTAACCAAACTCTATGTGTCTCCTCATTCAACCCATTTCTGCCTGTACACCTTTTCTTCATAATGTATTCTTTGTGAGACAGGGCTCCATCTCACCCCAATAATCCAATCAAGTGTAAAACTGCCTTTCTCTACAAAGTTAACACCACTGTCTCTTCCTGATATGTCTCTTCCTGATGTCAATTTTTCAAGAGTGTACATAAGCCTTGAAGAACAAGAAAATGGCAAGGCTTTTTCACCAGTTATCAAGACTTAACAATATTTACAGTAATTAAAACAGTGTGGAATTGGCAGAAAAACAGATGTAGGCAAATATAGATAAGTGATTGGGAAAAGGACACTTTTTTCAACAGTGCTGAATCAACTAAATGCGCACATGGGGGAAGAAATGCAATTTGATTCTTATCTCAAACCACGCTTCCCTAAATATGTTCCAGATGGATTTGGAGACACAAGTGTAAAACACACTTCTATAAAGCTTCTAGAAGATAATGACAAATATCTCTATGACCTA